ACCGGCAACCAATGACACGGCAGACATCACTGCCTATTTACTCATAAACCACATCTTTACTTGGTTCGGACTCCCCATCCGGGTCAACTCCGACAGAGGTACACATTTCACTGCTGAAGTGATGCAGAAACTTTGGCAAATGTTGGGTGTCAAAGTCAATTTCCATATTGGCTACCATCCCCAATCATCAGGCCAAGTTGAGTGATCTAACAGAACAGTGATCAGTGTTCTTAAGAAATATGTGTCCACCAACCATAGAGACTGGGACATCAAACTACCCCTGGTCCTAATGGCCATTCGATCAACCCCACATCAGTCCACAGGCATCTCTCCCTTCGAGATGATGACTGGTCGACAGATGACACTTCCTTTGCACCTACTCTATCAACCTGGTGAAGCCAATGTAGCAACCGCCTACACCACACACCAGTACATGAAAGATCTGAATCAACATCTGAGAACCACCTTTGCTTTTGCCCAAAAACGTTTTAACAAAACGGCTGAAGGACGCAAAGCCTACTATGACCAAAAAGCCTCCCATGAAGAACTTCAAGTGGGGGAAAAGGTCTGGTACTACATTTTTTCCCCAGCCACTGGACAAAAAGCTTCCAAAACTGGAACGCTTGCCCGCAAACTCCTTCCAAGGTGGACTGGACCACACCTGATAACGGACAAACTGTCCCCAGTTGTGTACCGAATCAGGATCAACAGAGAACAGAAAGAACCTGTTTTCAAGTGGGTCCACCGAAACCCGATCAAGCCACACAAGGCTCAAACCAAAACCCAATGATAGAGAGTCTGTAGACAACTAAAACCCCATCCAAACAAACCACCAAGAAGCTACAGACATTACTCTTCTTCAAATAACACCTTAGATTACAAATTTTCTAATTTACTATTACCTCAAACAAATAGGTAAGGTTTAAAACTCTAGACCTAACTCAATAAACTTTAACTAGGAAAATCAACTTTTGACCACTGGATCGGCTAGAGGTGAAGCAGCTAACGATCGGAAAAGATGACAACCCACTAGTGGGGGTTAACTTCGTCAGGTTGTAGTAGGGATTTTATGTTGCTAATACTCATGCTCAGTTGACCAACACATTGAAAGCTTGATTTAAAACCACACACGACTAATCACATTAGTCACTCATTCTAAGCAAACAAAATTGCTAGACATAGATGAACCAAACCCACCATTCCCTATGTCACTGGAATATTGGAACTCACAAGCGACCCATAGTTCCAAGCTTCCCATTTTTGTTTTACTTTTATCCCAAATTCTCCTATTGCATGCTTTATGTCCCTAAACATTTACCCATGAGCCCATAGACCCCTTTTGTCCACACGTGCGTATACAAAAGCAGTGGCCTTAGAATCCCCGATTAAATAATTTTATTTGTTTACTTACATAAACAGAATACAATTTAGTTTGTCAATTTAGTTGACATTAGAAATGCATGCATTGAGATTTGTTTTATTTTAACGATAACCTCATTATATGAGAAATTATTTAGACACTTAGTTAGATGGACACCAGAAATCACCCACTGAGTACCATCCTACCTCATCATCCCTTGGTCTACTTCACCATGTCCTCCAGAGGACATTGTGTAGATGGACACCAGAAATCACCCACTGAGTACCATCCTACCTCATCATCCCTTGGTCTACCTCACCATGACCTCCAGAGGACATTGTGAACGCCCTATGGAATACGTTTCTTATTTTTGATTTCCCTGTTGTGGAATTATCCCTTTGAACTCACATGGAACAATCTGGATTGTTTTTCCTTTTTGTACTTGGAACTATTCCTGTTTACTCCATGTTGAATGACTCTGATTTCTAACTCTGGAAATTATGAACTTTGACTTTTCAGAACTCTACCTGAACCTTTGTTTAGAGATGACGGAGATGGACGCTGCTGATTGCGATTCATCAACCATGGAACAGGTTATAAATCGCAAGTGGGGGAAATGTAGAGATATACCTGCGTCCCTGAATGTCATTTTGTAACAGACTTTTATTTCTGTGACTGAACAGTTCATTCTATAAAGATGTTTCTGAAATGGAAAAAAAAAGAAGAAACTCTTCATCCCTTGAACAACTGAGACATCCCACCCCACCCCCACTTCAGAACCTGGGACAGTTTAAAGTTTGTTTTCAGCACCTCTAACTCTGGAAAGTGTCAAAAGAAGACTTTTATGGTTGGTAAAGACAACCCAAGGGTCCATATATCGGAATAATATTGGAACACCCTTTCTGTGAACCCCACAAAATGGACATTTGAGTTAACACAGATCACTCAGGATGTCCTAGTATCAACTTGTAACAGCCTCCATCAGACTATTCCATCAACGATCATAAATAACAGAAAGCTTTGTCTCTGTTCAAAGGAATTCCAACTTTGACACTTGAGTCCAATTTCCTGCATGTAGAAAATGGACAGACTTTTTATTCACATTCTAGAAGAATTAATACTGTTTTTGTAATGAAAGAAGTGTTTACTGGGAATAACTAAATAACTGCCTTGTTGTTTCCCTTACAGCTGACAATAATCTGTGTAGGCCAAAAGTTTACAAACTTTTTTCTGTTAATAAGGTTGACAAAGTGTTTGTATTGTTTAACTTCATTTAAAGTTGATAAGTGTCTTAAATGATTTTATTTGATGACTTTTTCAACAGAGCAGATTAAAATAATACTTTATTTAGTGGATAAAAGTTCAGCCCTTCCATTTTGATTGGTTCAAATCCACCACCTCTTTCAAATCAGAGATGTGGTAATTTGTTTACAAGAGAGAAAGACCTTTCAGAAGGGAGAGGAGAAAAAAAGAGAGAGGGGGAGACAGAAAAAGAAATGATAATGAAGAAGTGATGAAACCCTCCCGAGGAAGAGATTAAGCTTTAAGACACAAACTTCAGAAGACTTTCAAGGAGAAAATTAGCTTCAACTTTGGGCAAAGTTTGATAGAATCCTTTTCAGCAATCAAAACACCTGCAGTTTTCATAAAAGAGTTAACAACAGCTGTTCAGAACTCCAGGAAACACTCCAGGCTTACCGTTCAAGCCAGTGAACACAACTCTTCGTCTTGAGGTCAGGGATGTGAAGAATTACAACTTTATATCACCATACTATCGGATCATACAGAGACAAATATCTGGTATCTCTGGCAGCCTTTGAAGACGACTCCTGGTAAGAAAAGCTGATCTGATACTCTGACGGTTGAATCTGGTGTTCAAAAATTTAGATTTTTAACCAAATTAGTTTAACTCAGTTCAGTAATTATTTTCCTTTAAATTTCAGACCAAATTTTTACTATTGAACGATAAAACGTATTTCTTTTAGTCAAATTTGCATGAGTAATATGCACTGTTGAAATTTCAAAATCATTCTACATTGCATCTTGTATTGGTTTGGTAAAGCACATAGAATAATTTCATTCATCTGTTAATCCCTGCGAACAAGTAATTTTTATGGTCACTTAATTTCCATTTAACTCCAGTTGGGAACAAAGCCTTCATTTTAAATGTCAGAAATAATTGCCAACAGTTATTATCATTCATAGTTAAATTAACATCACAAAATGATATTAAAGCGTGTGTGTTTTACTTATGACATCTGAATCCTTCATATAAAAGAACTCACGGTGTAAAAGGGTAACTCGAGGTAATTAAATAATAATCTGAATTAATTTAAGATCTTCAGACGTTCTCTCAGAGCTGAGAGTGGTGCCCCTTCAAAATAAAATTCATAACGAATTTTAACTATATAAAACCCTTCCCGCTACACCGTGTACCATTTATATTGCGCATTCCTACTTCACATCAATGTGAAGAAGACAAAGGAGATGATTGTGGACTTCAGAAGGAACAAACACACCTACAACCCACTGAACATAAGAGGATCTGCGGTGGAAGTGGTCTCCAGCTACAAGTACTTGGGTGTACACTTGAATGACAACCTCAGCCGGGGCAACACCACCACCAGCCTGATCAAGAAAGCTCATCAGAGACTCTACTTCCTCAGGCGGCTGAGACGAGCTCGACTGGGAAGCTCAGTCCTCACCTCCTTTTACAGGTGTGCAGTGGAGAGCATCCTGTGCGCCAGCATCAACGTGTGGCATGGAGGCTGCACAAGAATGCATAGAGGCTGCATAAGAAAAGCCTTGTAGAGAGTGGTGAAGGCTGCACAGAAGACTGTTGGAGTCAGCCTCCCCACCATCACAGACATTTACATCTCCAGATGCAGGAAGAGGGCCACCTGCATCATGAAGGACCCCACTCACACAGCACACACACTTTTTGCCCCGCTCCCCTTAGGAAGGAGGTTGAGGAGCATTAAGTGTAGAACCACTAGACTGAGGAACAACTTCTACCCTGAGGCTGTTAAACTAATGAATATCTAACCAGAATAATAACTGTGGAAAAATCACTTCATGTTGCTGCTGATCTTTGTCAATGTTGCTGCTGATCTGTTTCATGTTGATGTGTTCATGCGTGCTCATCTGCTTACACAGACTCATGTTCATGCTGCTGTTCGATGTAATGTTTTTATGCTATTAGTGCTTATTGTATATTTAGTTGATGTTTTTCTTAGTTTATATCTTAGATGTTATCATTGTTTTTCTTTTACACTTTATTGTTGGATGTAACTGGGACCCCATGTACATAATTTCGCTCCACCACATGTACCACATGAGGTGCGAATGACAATAAAGATTTCTGACTCTGACTCTGAAAAGGTGTGCATCCCCAATATGCAGCTACTGAAATACTAATCCTGAACAAAACAAATGGTAAATGGTAAATGGACTGTACTTATATAGTGCCTTTCCATCTTATTTCAAGATACTCAAAGCGCTTTACACTACAATCTGTGCCCTCATTTACCCATTCATACAGCACTCTACTAGATCTCTACAAAGCTAATTGAACAAATCATTCTATAGAGACTAATCAGTGCGACAACAACAACAACTTGGAACAGGTCCCAGTACGTACAGTTGCTCTTCGTCCGTGCTTGTTTTGATGGCTTGCTGGGTTCTCCAGTCCCAATTCTGTTGCTTGCCAGGACTCGAAACTCGTACTCCACCCAAGGGTTCAGGTCTATTACTGTAGCCGTCAATTGGTGACCTCCAACCACCACAGGAACTGGAACAAAACACAGTGTGTTCAATCTTAACAAAACTTGATGAGTCCAGGGTGTGATTTCTATGAGTGTACAGGCTAAACTACAGCAACAGTCTGTTCTGCAGCCTGATGGACCCGAAAGAACCAGACTGATGTGCTAGTACATGGAACTGCAGTAAATCATCACAGTAAACAGAAATGAAAAAAAAAAAAAAAAATTAAGGCCTTGTCCACATGAAAACATAATTTTTCCTAAATGTTTTATTTAATTTGTTGTTTCTAAAAATATCCTTACAAGCACAGCACTGTTTCTATAAATGTTTTCACCCACACAGAAAAATATCATGTTGAGGCTCCTAAAACATCAATCTCATATTGACACAAGGCTGAAACATAAAAAAAAAAAAAACCTTTGCATATTCACAAAATGCTGTTTTTGTGCTGACAGGGCCTAAAGTCTAGATACCGTAATTTCTGGTCTATAAGCTGCTACTTCTTTCACACGCTTTGAACACTGCTTGACATACAATGCTGCAGCTAATTAAAGGATTTTCTTTTTGACGGGCTAACAAGCTTAATGCCACTAAAACATTTAGCCTCATCACACTTGGGTGCTAATATAGCTGCCCACTACATGTCTATCTTGGGGGGTGGGTCCTCATGACTCAATGAAACTACCTGTACAAATAAAGGTAAAAAAAAACAAAAAAAACCAATAATAATCTGGCCAATGAAATTACCAAACATTGGACCAATGAAAGGAGGAGGGGAGAAGAGAACAGGGATGGGTGGGACTTTGTTTCCCCCCTTCCCGTTGTGCCTCCAAGGAGGGGGGAAATGAAGTTGGGAGGCTTGGATGACTGGCGGTAAGAAATCGTTTACCAAAACTGGCCGCATGAGAAGAGCAGCAAGTCTGCAGTGGATCCTGACAGTGGAGCATATAGCAGTGTAAAAAAAATCGTCCTTTCACCCACGGGTTTTTAAAGGCAGCTGCGTGATGAAGAGGACAGCACAAGCTTGTGCAGGAGGAAGATGAAGATATTGATCAGTGACTTCTTGGTAGGCTACTATATTTTTTTTTGAGAGAGCTTACCTGTCGTAACAGCCTGCCACCCCAGGGAAAATGGTGTCCTGGCCTGGATGGTGTATGCTGTAATTGGACTGTGATTATCAGGACCAGGCCTCCAGGACAGAGAGGCTGTGGTATCAGTGATTTCTTCTACATGGATGCTGGTGGGGGGCCCTGGAGGACCTGATAGATGGTAGCAAGTGAGGAAAGAGGGGAGGAGAGAAAGAGCAATACAGAAACGGAGGAGCAGAGGTAAAGACAGGAAGGATGAGCAAATGTAAATGAGGAGGAGATAGAGAGATGGAAGAAACAGTGAGCAGTTTTAGCACCTGCGGCAACTGCAGCAAAGTCACTTTAGAGTGAAACCTTAGGGATCTATCTAATTAGACAACATGTTTCCTTTAAACTTTGTGTCAAAACTATTTTACTAGGCAAACTTCTCAGTGGTTCATCCCTCACACCTCCCACAGCATGAAGCTGGTCAGTAAAGTATGGAATGACTTACCTCGAACAACCAAGTCCACAGCGATGGAAATGCTGTCCACCTTGGTTTGCACAGCACAGGTGTACTTCCCCGCATGCCTCAGTTGGATGTTTCGAATCATAATGTCCCCTGCAGAATGCTGCTGTCATTCAAACCACACACAGCCATGCACACAAAGCAAACAGGCGTCCATAAGGAATGTGGCAAGCCTCCAGCTACTGTAATTCAAAAACAATGCTGATGCTGCCAGCCTTCTCATGCATGTGTGCCCTGAAAAATAAATTCACTTTTCTTCATGCAATCTCTTCCTCCGTTGTCCAAAGAGGACTCAGAGACACTGCTCCATGGATTGATTTCATCGCTGTAATTACAGAACTGAACTTGCTGTAATAGCTTGATTGGGATTGTGAAATGTTATATGGAGCTGCCTAATGGCTAGTGGGATAGCTTGTCTTTAGGGGAGCCTTTCATCCTGTCTTTAATTGTAGTTCCCTTTTCTACATTATCGTTTCATCAGGGTCGAGCTGAACAGGTTCTATAATAAATTGAAGAGAGCTGAAAGTTGTGGCATGGTGGCACATCGTTTCTGTGGAGTGCCTGGAAGCTTAATCAATGTAAGTGGAGAGGAACAGCAATTTATTAGGCAGAGGAAACCTTAAATCATCCTCCAAGCAACACCTACATCATAGCAAATACTCAACTAGATTTTTTTTTTAAATCCAACATTTGTTAAAGAATCCTTGAATTTTATTGCTAACAATAAGACAGTGCTAGGTTAAAGCTGCAGAATATTACCAGCCTGAGACTGGAGGCAAGGAGTCAATGAAAATTCGGTTTCAGAATTAACCAGAGGCATCTATTTTCTATTATCTTTATAATATACTTAATGCAAACTTTGCTACTGCATTTATTGAGACATTGCTAAAAGAAGTAGTGAGTGAATGGACCAAAGAATCTTTAGTCAACTTTCAACAATTTTTCATTGAAATATCTGAGTGGAGCTGAAAAATAGGTTCCTATCAAAGGAACAAAACAAAATGAGGATTCTTAAACAGATTTCAATACAGTTTGTATTTTTATCACTCATTTAATTAAATCCCGTCTGATAAATATGGTGCGAACCTATAAACAAAGAGATGTCTTCATGGTCACTCTGTGGTTGTTCACACTTGTGAAGATTGTAGCTGTAGCAAGAATGATTTGACTTATAGGTTGTCATGAGAAGAAGGAAATAAAATAAATATAAAATGCTATATATTTAATTCTGTTCAGAGTTCTGTGTTAAATGTAGAAACATGAGTGCATTTCAGTATGTTTGTGGATAAACGGGAACAGAGATGATCAGCAGTTTATTTATAACATTTCAGTGGGGGGGGGGGGGGGGTCAAGATTGAGGTTGCTAAAACCCAGAGACAATGACTTACATGAGGACTCAAAGAAAACAAAAATTTAATAATACTGATTTTTTTGTTTTTTTGGCCTATAAGTCATGATTTTTTGTATAATTTGCACGCCCTGTGACTTATACGCTGAAGTGAATTTTTATGTTTTTTCCCCATATTTATAAACTAATTTCTGGCTGAGATATGACCGTTTTCATTCTTTTTTTTTTTTTTTTTGAGCTCAATTTAAGTGTAGAAACATTGTGATGTAATTCAATGAACTTATCATCATCGCTCAATTTTTTTTTTTAAAGAAAGAGAAGAAAGAAGAAAAATAAATAAATGAAAGAGAAATAGATAAAACGAGAGACCACCGTGACAAAACAACATGCACAGCACAATGCCACCCACAATATCACCATGAAACATTCGACATGGCACAAGGAATCATCTAGCTTCCACCACTACCCAACCTAGCGTGCATCTGTCAAAGCACCTGAATCCAAACACCCGCCCAAGCACGCCCGCCACCACCAGATTTCTCCAAAAGAATGCCCAATAGTGGACGCGGGAGCCCACAGACCCACCCTCCCAGGACACAATGGCAAAACAGGGAGGACCGGAGCCACACAAACAGCGGCCCCCAGGCCCGGAGCCCCAGGAGTTTCCCAACAGCACCCCCCAAGAGAGGAGCAGAGGAAAGAACCGAGTGACCCCAGTAACCACAATGCAGAGCCTCCAGGAAGCTGCAGTGACGAGCCCACAGGTCCGGCCGGCAACCCATGCCCCCCCCCCCCCCCCCCCAAGTAGATTCGGCCATGGACACCGAGCCCCAAGCCCCGAGGCCATACCAACCCCAGCAGAGCCCCAACAGAGCCAGGGCACCCAGGCCCCGCCAGGCAGCAACCAGGGCGGACCGACGTACACCCTACCACCCAGCCCAGATGCCGAGAGCCACCAATGCACCGGCGGCAAGGGGGCCCCCCGCCAAAGGGGGGCACGACCGGGGGGAGTGGGCCCCACACCAAACGTGGGGCCCAAATTGATCCAAGAGAGGGGGGACCACCAAAAAACCAACCTGAGCCACAAACAGGCACACACAGATAGCCCGACAGAATCTCTGTCGGGCCGACCGCATGCACCATCTACCTGACAGTGACCACAGGCCGGCCCCAGCCCAAGGGGCAGAGCAGCAGGGAGCCGCAGCCGAGGAGGGCCGGCTTTTCACATCAAGAACTCCGCACCATAGGCCCGGAGACGACCCACCACGCCACCTAAGCACCCCCCCCACACACACACACACAGCACCTCCACCGCAAATGCCACACAGGAAGACCAGCCACTGCCCTGATGAGGCGAAGCCACGCCCCCAACCGCCGCCCTACACCACCAATGACCACACGTACACTACCATAGCTGACCCTCCGCCGAAAGCCGGCAGCCACCCCGGTCAAAGTGCCGGCCATCGCAACCAGGAACCTAGATTAAAAGAATCGGAACAGCCCAGTGGGAACCGAATCACCAGCCCCATCACCAACCGCCCCCAAGGCCCAAAGCCCACCCACAGCCCAGACCCCAACAATGCGCCCCCCCCCCCCCCCCCCCCCCCCCCCCCCCCCCCCCCC